TCCTGATTACAAGAACTCATAATTAAAGACATTCTTCAGAACCAGTAAATAGCCATGTACAGCTAAAGAATAACTTAGCTTGTTAGCATAAATACAAATTTCACCCTTTTGTCCATGTAATTTTTCCTTTCCTTTTCTCATAAAATCTCCTTGCCTTCACCCCATAATCAGAACACTATCTGAGTTTCTGCCTGAAACAGTGCTTCCCAAGTAGCTTATTCTTTGATCTCAAATAAACACTTGTTGCCTCTCACTTTGGCGTTTATTTTTAGGTTAACAGCATACAACTCAATGAATTTTTAGAAGGTGCAGAACCCAGATTATGACAAAGAATATTATTAGGACCCTCAAAGTTCCCTCATGTTCTCTTCTAGTCACTATGTCTTCCCCACTCCCTAGTAAACATTATCCTAGATTAGTTTTAGGTGCTTTTGAACTTCACATACATGGAATCATAAAGTATGTACTAGTTTGACTGGCTTTTTCAATTAAATATTGTATTTGTGAGTCACATCCATACTGTTCAATGTGATTGCAATTTGTTTATTCTCATTGCTGTATATAGTATTCCACTGTGTGACTATATATCCATTTATTCATAAGTATTTGGAAACTTCTAGTTTGGGGCTATTGTGAATAATGCAGTGATTAACATTATTATACACATTTTGGGTGAATTTATGTGCATTTCTGTTGGAAGTGTACTTAGGAGTGGTATTTCGGGTTTGTATATATTCAAATATAATCAATTCTGGCAAATATTTTCCAAAACATATGTATCAGTTGACATTTCCACTAGCAGTGTGTAAGAATTCTAGTTTCTCCATACTCTCTCCAACACTTGGTATTGCCTGAATTTTTCATTTAATCATGCTGATGGATATGTATTGGTAAGTAACTCCAGCCAAAATGAAGTAAGACTACTGCAGCCTAGCTCTCCTATTGATTACAACTGAAAGCTCCGCACAAAATACAAAAAGCAAATACCTGGGGACTCTGAAGAGAATACAAAAACAGACAGATTGGGGAGAATCAAAACTTGGGAGAAACGCCCCGTGTTTTTCCTGTTTTCTCTTACAGCTTTGACCTGAGCCTTGGCACCTACTGAAACTGATGGCAGCCCATGCAGAAAATCTGAGAACTAAAAAACAACAACAACATATTTCTAGCCAGTTGAATGGTGGAAGGGGGCTTCTGTGAGCCAAAGTTTGTGGGGGAATTCCTGGCTTTTTCTCCATCTTTTTCCCCTCTGGGCTTTTACCTGGGAGTTAAGGCCTGGGATTGGACAGTTCCAAAACCAAAAACCATCTTTCTAGCCTAGTAGTGACGGCCTGGGCTTAGTCAGCTCCAATACTAAGAGAAACCCTATCTTTCTAGACAAGAGAAATGGGAAAGTAGGCCCAGTGGTCTGAAGAGTATAGAGGTAATCCAAATTTTTTTTCCTCCCTTTTCTCACCTCTTTGTCAAGTGTGGATCTTAGTCAGCTGATCTCGTGCAATCTATCATCTATCTATCTATCTATCTATCTATCTATCTACCTACCTACCTATCTATCTATCCATCTGCCTATGTGCACACATAGACGCAGACAACAGTGTGATGACAGTTAGAGAGAAGTGGGGGGGCGGGGGGTCCGGGTTAGGTGGAGGTGGGCGAAGGTGGGGAGAATGAGAAGAGACTGTTTGGGGCTATGGGAGCACAATGCAGTGTGCAGGTGGCTTTATTGAGCAGTACACATGAAAACCGGAATAGTTTTGCGAACCTATGTCACCCCAACAAATTCAATTAAAAAAATAAGAGATTTTTTAATTTTGGCAATATCCTTGTTCACAAATTAATGGTCCGTTTCCATGTGTACGCTGCTTATCTGTATTTATGTATCAAAAAACAGTAATTTTCTAAACGACATGATGTGTGCATAATAGAACAACATTTTCAATCCTTTATTAAAGAAGGTGTTCCAAAAACTTGGGAAATACACTGTTCCTAACCCTTTGACAGTAGACTGAGCAACCAGCCAGCTATTCCAAGACCCAAGCTGAATACAATCGCTTCTGCCTCGGCCTACGTAGCTCCGCCCATCTGAGCTACGAACGTACTTTCCTTTGGGGTCCTCCCGCCTGTAGGGGGCGCTCCAAGGCTTCGAGGGCCTAGAGGCCTCCCGCCTGGGGTGCCCCTACGGCGCCTGTTAATTTAGCTCGGGAGAATACATTTGCGTTATAACTCTTTTGACCAGGAAAAAAAAATCGCACAGGCACCTTACTCTGGAAAATAAGGTTTAAACTCAATCCCGGCCAAGTGCCCACATCACCAGCCCCTGACGCAGCGGCGGCAAGGAGTCAGGCGGCACGAGGACAGCCCCGGAGTGCCGAAAGTCCCCAGCCCGCTTTCCTCCGGTGAAGACGTAGCTGCGGGTGGCTGTGCTGGTGGCGGCGGCGTCCAAGATGTCGACCAAGAATTTCCGAGTCAGTGACGGTGACTGGATTTGCCCTGACAAAAAGTGAGTCCAGCCAGGGCCCCGCCTTGGCGCGCGGTTGATCGGTGACGTCTTTCTCAGATCGGTTCGGCGTTTTCCCCGTTTACGATCCCCGTTGCCTTCAGCCGGGAGGAGGCGGCGACTCCGGGCTCCTGGGCGGGAAGGAGGCTCCCAGTCTCCTCACGAGGAGGGCTTTCGTGATCATCCCTGCAGCGTTTCCTCACTCCTATGTCGCCAAGTCAGCCCCTCATTTTGGGGAGCGAGATTGGCCTCCCCGTTACCCCCACCTCCCGCTCCGCCCCGGCCCG